CTCTTGAGCCTCCCATTCAAACTCCAGGGTGCAGGTCCAGGGCCTAGTGTCCTCAAGGAGGACATGGAGGTCACTAGCATGTCCTCTCTGCCCACTCTGATTCTACAGAGCGGCCGAAGGCAGAGGCTGAGGTGTGGAGAGCCAGGGAGAGGGACAGGAGGTTCCCTGGAACCTGCAAGGTGCAGGTCATGCGTGTGGGCTCAGCCAGGCCTGGGCAGCATGGAGTGGAGGCGACAGGAGGCCCTCGCCCTGCAGGGTGCAGGCTGAGTGCTGTCTGCACCCTGCGCGTGTGTGCCGTGTCTGTGCCTGCACATACACATTTCTGTGTTAGTGTGCTGTTTACATGCTCGTGAGCTTGTGTTTGCATGTTTGTGTCTTTGCACTCTGAGTGTGTATCTACCTGCTTGTATGTACTTTTGCACATCTGTGAGGATGTTTGTGTTTGTGTGTTTGCAGATGGGTGTGTGCCTGCACGGTTGTGTTTGCATATGTGAGCATGTGTTTGCAATGCCATATGTTTGCCTGTGTGTGAATGCAAGCACATCTGTGAGCATATGCTCACATGGTTGTCTGAGTGCAGTGTGTGCATGGTCATGCTTATTTGCACATGTGTGTATTTATATTGTGTGTGTTTGCACTTTGTGAGAGTGCCTCTGCATGGTTATGTGTGTTTGCATGTGCCTGAGTGTGGGTTTGCATGGTTGTGTGTTGCACATTGTGAGTGTGTGTCTACATGGTTGTGTTCCATGTATGTGTGCATCTATGTGAATATGTGTTTGCCTGGCTGTGTGCACTTGTGCTTGCATTTCTATGTGTGCACATGAGTGAGTGTATGCACAGTAGCGAGTTCACATGTTTGTGAATGTGTTTGCCTTGAGTGTGTGCTTGCACTGTTGTGTTATACTGTGTAAGCATGAGTGCATGGTTTAGTGTGTGCTCGTGTGTGTGTGCTGTGATTTCCACTCATTTGTGTATGGTTGTGTGTGTCTGCACATGTATGTGTGTGAGTGTGCCCATTCCTTTGTTGTCCTTGGGTGTCTCTGGCCCCTCCTAGAGCCCAGCTCTGCTCCCATTCTGGGCATTTCCCTCGTGCTCTGTTAGTGTCTCACAAATCTGAGGCCCTGTGTGTAGTGCATGCTATCTGGTTTGCACAGAGCCACGTCCTCTGCTCCTCCGTCCTGGTCCTGGGTGAGCTGGGCTCTGTCCCGTGCTCTGGACTGCCCCTTGGTTGGATGAGGCTGTCTGTGCTTGTGTTGTGTGGACTCTGGGGTGACGGGGGGCTGGGAGGCTTGCACAGGGCAGGCGGGGTGGGCAGGGTGCCTGTGGCTTGTTACCCATGAGCTCCCCTGAGACCTGGGTGGGAAGTGAGTCCCATCCACACCAGGGGTGCCATTAAGCCCTGGGCTTCTGAGCCTAGAACTGGGTGCCTGGCCTGGCTGCTCCAGAGCTGGGCTCCCTGGGAGGACTTGGCCAATCCAGGGGGTTCAGGGGCAGCTTGAGGACCCAGGAAATCGCCTCTGAAGAAACCTCCCTTGACAAGTGGGGTTGTGCTGACTGTGGGGCCGGGGCCAGCATGGGCAGCGACGGACAGAGTCGCCTCTCATGAGAGGGTGCGGGTGTCACCAAGGCCCAGGAGAGCCCCGCCGAGTGAGCGACGATCCCTCAGCGTGGGAGGCAGGATTCACTCTGAATTGTTTCCAGTTTTCAACTGTGGTCAAAGAGAAGCGATGATCCCCATCTTGGCGGCGTTTAGGCACACAGTCAGCGGCACTGAGCACGGCCACACTGCACGCAGCCAGCTCTGCCTAGCTCCTGCAGGACTTCTCATCTCTCCAGCTTGAACTCTGCCCTAGGATGCCAACCCCAGCCCTGGGCCCATCCTGCTCTCTGTCCTCGTGGACCTGACGACCCTAGATGCCTCCTTCAATCCTTCTGTGTGCAGCTTATTTTCCTAAAGCCTCATCCTTGCTGTGGCAGGAGTCAGAATTTCCTTCTTTTTAAGAGCAGAATCGTATTCCGGTGTGTGGATGGGCTGCGTGTCCTAGGTCCATTTGTCCACTGTGCACACTCGGTTGCTCGCACAATTGGGTGTTGTCATGGATGCTGCTGTGAGCCTGAGTGTGCAAAACCCTCTAGAGACCCTGCTTTCCACTGTTCCTAGTCTGAGCCCAGGCGTGGTACTTTGGTGCTTATGTGTAGATTTTACTCTGAGCATGGCGCCCTAACACTGCAGGCCTGTTTGGTAGACCCCTGCCGGCACTCATACTGCCCTCTTCTCCCGGGCCAGAGTCCCGGTGGTCTGGCCTGGCAGTTGAGGGCATCTGCATGGGTCTGTGGTGTCCCAGGCTGGGCCTGCAGCCTGGCGTTGTAGACGGTGGCTGGGGGATGACGCCAGCAGAGTCCCCTGACTGTCAGAACACGGGGCTCTCGCTGGGCTGAGGAAATTGGCTGGCAGTGGCCCCAGAAGAGGATTTGGGGTCCACGGATCTGCCCCAGGGCCTGGAACCCCCTGAGTTTCCTGTGGGGGGATGCACACTGAGGCTGCTCCAGTGACACCTGGGCCCGGGAGGTGAGAGGTGACGGGGCCAGAGGCAGGAGGAGGGAGACACGGGGCAGGTGGAGAGGGTGCAGGGGTCCCAGCTGTGCAAGGCTGGCATCGGCCCTCAGAGGCTGCCAGGGAGGTCCGTGCAGAGGACACGGAGCAGGGAGCCGGTCCTGTGGCCAAACTTCAAATCTGAGGGGCAGGATGGCCTTTGGTTCCTGCCCGGTCGTGGGAGGAGTTCTGTTTGCTCTGTGACTCAGAAAACAAACACACACAGGCTTCAGATCAGTGCGGCCCCGCCGCAAAACCAAATTTGCGCTGCTCCTTTCCTTGTGGTGCCAGGGGGCAGCCCCTGCCTGGCACCCCAGGCCCAGGAGCTTCCTTCACCCAGGGGAAAGCTCAGGCCGATCTCCCTCTCCTCGAGGAAGTCCCTGCTGGTAACCCTGAGAACCCTCCCTCTGTCCACACAGCTCTGGGTCAGGGCTGCCGCACCAGGACCCAGGAACCCCTCACTGGAGCCCACTCCCTCCTCCCCAGCTGGAGGGACCTCTCTGTCACTCTCCAGTTACGGCTCAAAGTCCCACCCCACGGGAGGACACGGTCTTCCCCTGCCTGCCTGCCCATTGCGCTGTCCGCTGCTCTTGGCGGGTCGCCGACCTCTGGGTGCCCCGTGTCAGGGATCAGATGCAGCACAGAGAATGCCTCGAGGGCTCATCTGCTTGCTTCGTCCTCTGAGCTGGAGGCAAGGCCCTGGGCCCCTCCGAGCCTCGGGCTGACCGACACCCAGCAGGTCACCTTGTAGGGGTGGTGGGGATCCCAGCCCTGCTCCCCAGCCGGGACGGTCAGCATGGATGCTCGTGCTGCCATCTGAGGGCACTGAGGTGGAGCCCTGGAGGGTCCTGGGGGTTCAGGATTCAGCCTGGTTTCACCCTCAAGGGCGCATGGGCCAGGGCAGCTGTGGGGAGACACCCCTTGGCAGATGCAGCCATTTTTTGCCCTACCTTGGGGCCTGATCCCAACTGGACCTGCCCGGGGCTTAATCTCCACTGAGTCATCAGGGTTTAGCCACCAGGACAAAGGGGCTATTGGATGCTTGCTTGCTTGCTTCCGGTGGAGGCAGGATCAGCAGCCTGATGACAGCATGGCAGTGATGCTCTGGGATATGGTCACCGCCTCCACCCTGTCCGGTCCCCAGTGTTTTTCTGTCTCCATGGCAACACCTGGGACATACTCCCAGACCTTTCCTGCTGGACTCCAGTAATCATGACTACCAGATCCAGGCCTAGAGCTGAGGAACTCTGGGACCCGGGCAAGGGCTTCCAGGGCCTTGGGCAGGTGCCCCTCATGCCACCCATGTGAGGGTCCCCAAGGAGTGAGATTCACTGGCCTGGCACAGTCCCCAGCCTGGGCACCTGCTTCCCTAAGTCACAGGGGAGAAGGGCCCCTGGAGGCCACGTCCCTGGCTTGGCACCCTCAGGGCACTGGCCTGTGAGCCACAGGGCCGAGAGGTGGGGGTGAGGAGGTTGAACCTCTCCTCAGGGCACCCACGGGGTGCCTGGGCCTGGCTCTCTGTGGGGCTGAGGGGCCACACTCCAAGGCTCATAAGCACAAGAGGAAGCCCTGCCTGGTCAGCATCCCCAAGCTCCAGGGTCATCACTTTGGCCTGGAGCCTGGCCGCAGGGCCCTCGCTAGCTGTGGGCCACTCAGCCCAGCCTTGGATGCAGGGGCTACGATAACCTGAGGCTGGCCAGTGACTCAGTTCGGGCAGAGTCCAAGGTATGGACCCCATGGTGACTTAGGCCTGGGCCTTGTGCCAGGGGCAGGCACTGGCTGTGCCACCTCCTTGCCTCTTGGAGGAGACAGGAGTGCAGGACCTTGTTACTCTACTGCTCCCGCCTGGTCCTGTCATGGCCTACAGCCCTTTGGCCACCACAGGACTGGGCCCAGAGCCCTGGGTCCCAGCCTTGAAGCCACCTGCCCTCCACGGCATATCCCGCACCTCCGTCAGCAGCAAGGCACCCATGTCCAGTGCCGAGGCCGGGGTGGGCTGGCTGTGCCTGGGAGTCTGGACCCCAGCTGCTCCCTGTGTGGTGGCTCATTCACCCAGCGTGCCTCCCCTCACTCACGGGCCTGTGACAGGTGACACCCTCTCTAGCGCTCGGGCCAAGGCTGGCAGGGACACGGAGGCCCAGGCACTCTGCATGTGCGCTGAGTGGGTCAGCCAGAGGCTCAGCGACCTCTGGAGGCAGTAGGACATGGCTCAGCCTGTCCACAGAGCTGCCGGGAGCCTTCGGGTGGGGACCGTGGAGGGAACCTGGAGCGGCCCCACCCAAGGGCACACCCTCTGCCTGTTTACCCGGGCGAGGGGCTGCCCCGCCTTCCAGGAGCCCCTACAAAAGGCCACTGCCACCCAGTCCCTCCTCAGAGGCCACCTCAGGGACCTTCCCACACTCACACCATGGGCGCCGGCCCGGGGATGCTGGCCCTGCTCTGGGCCCTGGCCTGTGCCCAGCACTCAGGTAGGATGGCAGGGGCCAGGCAGTTCGTGTGCAGTGTGTGGGGCTGGAAGCTGGGCTCCTCGCTGGGCAGCAGGCCCTCGGGGTGACAGCTGCAGGGAGCATCCTGTCCAGGCCTTGTCCCCAGGGTCCTGTGAGGTCCGGATGACCCCTCCCCTGGGCAGCAGGTCCTTGCCTCTGTGGCAGGTGTAGGGGTGACAGAGCCCCTGGGTGGGTGTGGGGTGGGTTCAGCTGCCCTCCCTGTCATGTGCCATCCAGAGCAGAAGGCCTCTGAGGAAGCTGCAGACTGCCCTGCCCGGTCACCCTCTCCCCTGGGCACGGCTCATCTGGGCCAGAGTGCCCACGCTGGACTCCTGCTCCCTGAGGCTGGGACGCTGCCTGGGCGCTTGGAGAAAGGCCAGCCAGGGCAGGCCAGGGGTGGGGGCTGGAGCTCCGTAAGTGCAGGGCAGCACCTGCCAGGGCACAGTCCCAGCTAGGGTGATCTGACACCCAGCCCCGGGGACAGAGATGCCCTGGACCCTGCTCAGGCTGTGCCCTCTTTCGCAGGCTGGGCTCAGGAGGACGCCGCAAAACTCAGCCATGAGATCTCCCCCGACCTCTCTTCCCAGCGAGGGCATAGCGGTGAGTCTCAGCCCTCTGCACCTAGCCCAGGGGCCACTGTGAGGCCTCAGGACTGGGGGGCTGGGGGCATCCAGTGTGCACAGCCCTGCCGGTCCATCCCTCGCCCTGCCCCTGTGAGAGCCAAAGAAAGGCTGCCGGACAGGCCGCAAGTCCCCCGGGGGACACCCCTGCTTCACGGGCACTGAGCTGAAGCCTTGCTGGGGTGAGGGCAGTGGGCAAGGTCACCCATAGCTTCCATACAGGAATACGGGGCAGTGGATGGGCAGAGGCCTTCCTGCCTCAGGGGAACTGGGGGCCGGCGGGCAGCCAGGTGCCACGGAGGGGTAAGAATGGTTCTGCAGTTTCAACCGCAGTTTTCATTCAAACAATTTCCTGGCACCAGCTCTCCCATACAAGTCAATGGAAGGGGATGACAGAAAGTGCAGTTCCTTCTCAGAGAAAGCAGCTAGAACTCTTGTGCTATGGCAATCAGCTCCACTCCAGGCATGATGTAAAACCGTAGTCCTTTCAACGTCTGCCTCTCTGCAGTGCAGACTTGTGCAGCACATCTCTACGAGGCCTGTACTGTGAATGGCACTTTGGCCTAGAAAGTTCCCTCCAGCTCTGTTGCAAAGAAAGGGCCCAGAGAGCTGGCTGGGGGCTTTGGGACCAACCTAGCCTCCTGTTTGCATTTCCTGAAGCCGGGCCACACTGAGGGTGCCTGAGTCTAAGCCCAGCATCCGAGACTGAGTAGACCCGGGTGTCTGAGATCCCAGGGCAAGGAGGTCCCTGCATGCAGGCAGATGGTTCTGGGGAACACAGGGGTCGGGGGGCCCTGCACTGCACCCCTAATGTGCCTGACACTCAGGGCGCAGCGTCAGGCTGGAGGGGTTCCCGCCCCGTGTGCCTCCCACAAGCCCTGTCTCCACAGGCCACTCACTCCTTGGGGTGACTGTCATCCCCCCTCTGATGGCCGTCCCTGTACTACGAGGTAACTGGAGCCCCAAGGCCTGTGGGGGACACCGTGTGGGCTGGCATGGTGTGGAGGTGGGTTGACAAAAAATGGGGTGCCCACTGCTGGGGTGACACTGAAGAAGTCTGGAAAGGGGACAGAGCCCCTCGAGGCAGGCAGAGGCCAGACTCTGTCCTGGGGGGCCGGGGCTGTGGTGGAGGCAGCTGGGCATGGGCAGGGGCAAGTGGCAGTGGCCCATTTCCCATCTTTCTCGGCAGCCCTGAACCCCGCGCACACGGGGCGCGTCTGCAGCACCTGGGGCGACTTCCACTACAAGACCTTCGATGGCGCTGTCTTCCGCTTCCCCGGCCTCTGCAACTACGTGTTCTCCTCGCACTGCGGTGCCGTCTACGAGGACTTCAACGTGCAGCTGCGCCGGGGCCTTGCATCCAATACCACGGCGCCAAGCAGGATCATCATGAGGCTCAGCGGCCTGGTCGTTGAGCTGACCAGGGACTCTGTCCGGGTCAACGGCCACCTGTGAGTTCTGGGGCTGTGGGGCATCTAGGGGGAGGGTGGTGGGCCAGGCCCAGTTCTCCAGGGATGCACATGGGGGCCCCTCCTGGTGGGGTCACCTCCCATCCTGACCCTCAGCCCCTCCCCCAGGGTCCAGCTGCCCTTCAGCCAGGCCGGGGTCCTCATAGAGCGCAGCAGTGGCCACCTGAAGGTGGTGGCCAAGCTGGGCCTGGTGTTCACATGGAACCTGGATGACAGCCTCACGGTGAGGACGAAGTGGGAGGCAGAGCCTCCTGGGGGCTGGGGGTCCCTGTGCTGACCCCCTCTCCAGAGAGGGTAGAAAGAGCTCTGGGTGAGGTGGGTGAGAAGGCTGGGCCCCCACCTGGCCGGTGAAGATGGGGACTCAGATGCCCACAGAGCCCAGGATCTGCACCCCAAGATGGCCCTGCCTGAGGGGCATCTCCTCCAGGCCCGCCTGGGGCCGGCCAGGGCTTTGTGCAGATGGCGGGGTGGGGTCTGCAGCCTGTGACCCTGCCAGGAGACCCCGGCCACCTGTCTCTCGTGCCCTGGGCGTCCCTGGTGGGGCCCACATCTGACGTCCTCCCTCATCGCAGCTGGAGCTGGACACCAAATATGCCAACAAGACCTGCGGGCTCTGTGGAGACTTCAATGGCGTCGCTGAGGCTGGCGAGTTCCTGTCCCACAGTAAGCCCAGGCACTTCCCACACTGGGAGCACCCGTACACAGCGACAGGCACACAGCACACCCTCGTGCCTCCCAGGTGCATGCAGCTGCGAGCACCTGCTGGACCCTGATCTTGGTGGCCCGGCCGTGCCCTGCCGGGGCCCATGGAGCCCCGAGCAGCCCAACAGCAAGGGGTGCCCGGCCCTCCTCAGTGGGGGCCCCTGGGATGCTGGGTTGGGGTCCTGGGCCTGCAGCAGAGATGCTGTCTCCCCACAGACGCCAGGCTGACTGCTCTGGAGTTCGGGAACCTGCAGAAGATGGATGGCCCCACGGAGCAGTGCCAGGACCCCAGGCCCACACCCCAGAACTGCTCCACCAGCCCCGTGAGCCTCCGTGCTCGGGTTGCAGGGAGGGCGGTGGAGGGGACGCCCTGTGAGGCTGGCCTGACCTCGGGCTCTGGCCACCCCCAGGGCATCTGTGAGGAGTTGCTGAGCAGCCAGCCCTTTGCGGGCTGTGCAGTCTTGGTGGACGTCAGCAGCTACTTGGAGGCCTGCCAGCAGGACGTCTGCCACTGCGAGCACCCTCACCTTCCCAGCTGCCTCTGCCACACCCTCGCCGAGCTCTCCCGGCAGTGTGCCCACGCTGGCGGGCAGCCCCAGGACTGGCGGGGTCCCGACCTCTGCCGTGAGTGTCCTGCCCTGTCTTCCGGTTGTGCCTCGGGCAAGCAGGGAAGGGCCTGCTGTGAGCCCACCCTCGTCCCCTGCAGCCCCGACGTGCGCGCCCGGCATGCAGCACCAGGAGTGCGGCTCGCCCTGCACCGACACCTGCTCCAACCCCCAGCGCTCCCAGCTGTGTGAGGACCACTGCGTGGCTGGCTGCTTCTGCCCGGAGGGTGAGCTGCGCCCTGCTCGGGACTTCAGGGTCAGGCCGGCCTTGGGAAGGACCCTGAGGCTGAGTCCTGCCGTGCTGCGGTGCTGCTCCCTGCAGGGACGGTGCTGGATGATGTCCACCACTCTGGCTGTGTCCCCGTGTCCCAGTGTGCCTGCATGTACAACGGGACGCCCTACGCGCCGGGGGCCAGCTACTCCAGGGACTGCACCGAGTGGTAGGTCCAGGGCCCTGCGGAGAGCCATGGGGTCCCCAGCCCGGGAGGCCGTGCAGGCTGGCTATCCCCAGGCCACACACAGCTGCCTCCTCACTATGTGCAGCTCCTGCGTTGGAGGTCACTGGAGCTGCCGGGAGCTGCCATGCCCGGGCACCTGCTCCGTGCTGGGCGGTGCCCACTTCTCCACGTTCGACGAGAGGCAGTACACAGTGCATGGCGACTGCAGCTATGTGCTGACCAAGGTATGGGAGCCTGGGCTCCCCGCCCAGCTTCACAGCACTGCTGCACTGGGGAGACCTGGGGGTCCCTGGGACCACATTTGGGGAGACGCTGAGCCTCTGGGGCCCACAGGGCTGCTGGGCTCCTGGCCAGAGCTCTGGGTGACTTCTCTGACCTTGGGTTTTGCTCTACAGTAGACTGTGTTTTAGATTCATAAATAAATTGAGCAAGAAGCACAGGGATCCCACCCGCCCCCAACCTTCCCTGTTAATAACTTTTCCGGTGCATCTGTCACTGCTGATGAGAGACTCGACGGGCCACGGTACCCATCGGGCATGGTGTCCACCAGGCTCACTGTCCCGTGTGTAAGGTCCTGTGTCTGCCACCAGCACCACACACACCAGTGTCACTGCCCGACACCCTGGGCCTGTCCCTGCCACCCTGCCTCTACCTCTCGCATGGTTGGGCCTTTCCCCCCAGGTCCTGGGTTGGAATCCCATGGTGGCCACGTTCTCAGGGTGCTGGTCCCCATCTGGGACTGCAAGGCTCCTCCCTCCCCCTGGATCCACGGCTCCGCCCAGGAGCCACAGAGGGCGTGGGTGGCCCAATGAGAGGACACTTCCGGCTGGAGGAGGGCGGTAGTGCAGTGTGTGAACGCCACGTCCCCACAGCCCTGCCATGGCAGTGCCTTCGCTGTGCTGGCCGAGCTGCGCCGGTGTGGGCTGACCGACAGTGAGTCCTGCCTGAAGAGCGTGACACTGAGCCTGGGCGGGGGACAGACGGTGAGTCGGGGGTCACCTCTGCCCGAGCCCTGGTCTGCAGTGGCATGTGCAGGGCAGGGCTTCAGGTCCCTCTGGCGTGGGCTGCGGCCTTTTGTCGGGTCTTCTGGGTGACTGTCCCCAAGCAGGGATGAGGCCCGGCTCCTATGCTGCCCTCCTGGCCACAAAGAAGAGAGCCTTGAGCATCTACTGAAGTTGATTTATAAATTAACTTTGGTTTTTGCATTGTTTAAAAAATGTTTGGTCCTCATGAACAGTTCAGAAAATCAGGATGAGCCCTAGGGCAGAACTCAGGGCGTTAGCCCACCTAGGGGTGCATGGCTCGTGGGCAAAGTCTCCCAGCACCAGTTCCTAGCCTCTGCGCTGGGGAGGAAGGGGACCCGCAGGGCCCTGTGCTGACCCCGCTGCCGCGGCCCCAGGTGGTGGTGGTGAAGGCCGGCGAGGCGGTGTTTGTGAATCAGCTCTACACCCAGCTGCCAGTCTCCGCAGGTGAGGGCTCCCCACCCTCTTTTGCCCCAGCCGCCAGCAGGCTCCAACCCATGCAGCCCAGCAAGCTGTACCCTCTGTGTCCACAGCCAATGTCACCATCCTGAAACCCTCTACTTTCTTCATCATTGTGGAGACCCAGCTGGGGCTGCAGCTGCGTGTCCAGCTGGTGCCCACGATGCAGCTGTTCGTGCGGTTGGCCCCCGAGCTCCGGGGACAGACCTGCGGTAGGAGCCCACCCCGAGTCCCCATCTTCCTCCTGTCCCTGTCCCTGAGCCCCATGGGGCCTCAACTGCCTTCCCACCCTAGGTCTCTGTGGGAACTTCAACCAGAACCAGGCCGACGACTTCCGGACCATCAGCGGGGTGGTGGAGGGCACCAGTGCTGCCTTCGCCAACACCTGGAAGACCCAGGCCTCCTGCCCCAACGCCAAGACCATCTTCGAGGACCCCTGCTCGCTTAGCGTGGAGAATGGTGTGTGTAGCTTGCATCTGGGTGCTCCAGGGCCAAGTGGAGGGGGTGTCAGTGCTGCCCACCAGCGCTTGCCAGCCACTGCTGCTTTATCCAGGGGCCAAGTTTGGGCCCTGCTTCAGGGCCACAGGAAGGACGTAAGTCCTGGTCTCACTTACCGGTGACCCTGCCCGTGCAGCCACTGGACAGGCTGGGTGGGTTGCTGGGACTGGGCTGCCATGTCCCCTCCCTCTGTGCCCAGGAAGCAGGTGAAGGCTCGGAGGGGCCTCTGCCCGTCTGTCTGTGGCATGGGCTTCGTGCCCCAGGAGGTGGCTGGGAACAGGGAAGGTGGTGATGCTGTGGTTTCGCCATGCCCCACGGCCTGGGGGACGCCCCATCCCTGCCTTTGGCACTTTCTGTAACATGGCCAAGTACCAGCTGTGCCGGGCACTCCCAGCCCCAGGCGGGAGCTGCTAAGGCACATGCGGGCTGATAGCCCTCTCTGCCCACAGAGAAGTACGCCCAGCACTGGTGCTCGCTGCTGACAGACGCTGATGGCCCCTTCGCCCAGTGCCACGCCACCGTGAGCCCCAGCTCCTACCACTCGGTAATACTTGCTGCCGAGGCCCTGCATGGCCCTGTGCCGCCTTGTGGTGCCCAGGGAGGCTGGGAGGGCACCATGTGACCGCTCCACAGGCCAGGCAGGGCCCAGGGCCCAAGCCAGACTCCCTGCTCCACCCCACTCACTCATTCCCTTGCCCACCTGTGTGCCTGGTGCCCGGCACGGGGCCGGCCCCCAAGGTTGCAGCCAGCAGGGATGGCGGTGCAGCCGTGCATGGTGTCTGAGTCGCAGAGCTACGGGAGGTCGGGCCGCGAGGCCTGGCTCCTGGATGAGGCCTGGGGGCTGGGGAGGGCCCTGGAGGGAGCAGGGGCGCTGGTGGGGCCGGGTCCCTGACACGCCGCCCGCCCCCAGAACTGCATGTTCGACACGTGCAACTGCGAGCGCAGCGAGGACTGCCTGTGCGCGGCGCTGTCCTCCTACGTGCAGGCCTGCGCCGCCAAGGGCGTGCTGCTCCGCGGCTGGCGGGACGGCGTCTGCAGTGAGTGCCCCGTGCCTGCCCGGAAGCCCCCGCCGCCCCCATGCTCGCCCGGACCCTTGGACCTGAGCGTCCCTCTTCCTGTGCCCATAGCAAAGCCCACGACCACCTGCCCCAAGTCGATGGCCTACCAGGAGCACCTCGGCACCTGCCAGCCCACCTGCCGCGGCCTGAGCGAGGCCGATGTCACCTGCGGCGTGTCCTTCGTGCCCGTGGACGGCTGCGCCTGCCCGGCAGGCACCTTCCTGGATGAGGCGGGCGCGTGCGTGCCGGCCCACGAGTGCCCCTGCTACCACAGGGGTGCCATGGTCCCCAACGGTGAATCTGTGCATGACAGTGGGGCTGTCTGGTGAGGCCGGGGCCAGGGTGGGGAGGAAGCTCTGCTCCCCGTGGGATGCATGCGCTCACCACCCTCTCCTGCAGCACCTGCACACGGGGCGCACTGACCTGCATCGGGGGCCCTGTGCCCAGCCCAGGTGAGCCTGCTCCCCTTCCCGTGAGATGCCCCAGGCCGGCGCAGTCAGTGGCGGGGAGCACAGGGCGTGGTCTCCTGCACACGTGCTCGTGAACACAGACACACACACAACACGCAATGCGCAGTGCACACCCCACACATGTGGCGCAGGTGGGCACACACTCAGCTGCTGGGAACACACAGGCGAGGCCACACCACAGCCTGTGTCCCCTGAGTGGGCCTGCGGGGCCAGGCTGGGGCCCCTGAACATGTCCGCTCCACAGTGTGTGATGCTCCCATGGTGTACTTTGACTGCCGCAACGCCACGCTGGGGGCTGCTGGGGCCGGCTGCCAGAAGAGCTGCCACACCCTGGACATGGCCTGCGTGAGTGCCCGTCACCCTGGGGACCCACAGACCCCCACTCCTTGTGGCCCCTGTAGCCTCCTGCTCAGGTCCCGTGTTGTCTCGAGTGGGGGCCACTGGGTGCCTCCTCGGGTGCCCCCCAGGACACTGCCTGCCCTGTGGCTGGGCTCCTGTGGCCCTGCATCCCATGGCCACCTCACTCTCGGGGACACGGAGGGTCCCGCCAGCCGCCCCTGCCTGCTGAGCTGTGTGCCCACGCCCCACAGTACAGCACCCAGTGCATCCCAGGCTGCGTGTGCCCCAACGGGCTGGTGGCCGACGGCGACAGAGGCTGTGTTGCCGAGGAGGACTGTCCCTGTGTGCACAACGAGGCCAGCTACCGGCCCGGGGAGACCATCCTTGAGGGCTGCAACACCTGGTGAGCGGGGCTGAGCCTCGGGGTGCGGGTGGCCACCAGTGGCCTGGACCGAGGGCCCTGTTGAGCACCAAGTCACTGGCACAGCGCCTGAAGGCCGGGTGGGTGGGCAGCCCAGCCCAGCCCAGCCCCGAGACCCTCGTGGCACCGGGACCTGTCTGACCCGGTGCCCCTGCAGCACCTGTGAGAACCGGATGTGGCGGTGCACGGACGAGCCCTGTCTGGCCACCTGTGCAGTCTACGGGGACGGCCACTTCCTCACCTTCGACGGGCAGCGCTATACCTTCAGCGGGGCCTGCGAGTACACGCTGGTGCAGGTGTGCGGCAGCTCGGGGCTGCTGGGGCTCCTGGCTGCCCTGGGGGTCCTGGCCCATCTGACCACAGCCTCTGCTCCCAGGACCAGGGTGGCGAGAACGGCAGTGCCCCGGAAGCCTTCCACGTGGTCACCGAGAATGTCCCCTGTGGCACCACGGGGACCACCTGCTCCAAGGACATCAAGATTTTCCTGGGGGTGCGAGAGGCTTGTGGGATGGGTATGGGGACATGGGTGGGTAGAGAGGGGTCCCTGCCAGGCCCTGAGGGAGCCCTGCCGCGCAGAGCTACGAGCTGAAGCTGAGCAGCGGGAAGGTGGAGGTGGTCCAGATGGGCGCCGGGCAGGAGCCGCCCTACACCGTGCGCCAGATGGGCATCTACCTGGTAGTGGACACCGATGCTGGCCTTGTGCTGCTCTGGGACCGGAAAACTACTCTCTTCCTCAGGCTCAGCCCTGAGTTCAAGGTGAGGCCCAGCCAGGGAGGCCATCGCTGTTGGCCCTGCTGGGCTCTGCTGGATGCACAGACAGGGAGTGGACAGAGACAGAGAGAGAGACAGACAGAGAGAGATGGAGAGAAATAGAGAAAGACGGACTGAAACAGACAGACAAGAGACAAAGACAGTGAGAGACAGAGGCAGAGAGGAGGGGCCTGGGGCAGAGAGGTGGAGATCGGGGGACAGGGCAGGCAGTGAGGGCATTTCCGGCTTCCTGTCTGCACGGCCGGCCCCAGCCTGGCCTGTGCGGTCTGTGCTCCCCCTGCGGTGGCCAGGCCTCCCCTGCAGGCTGAGTCAGAGGAGGAGGGAGGAGGTGCTCGTGAGGGGGGGCGCCTCCCGGGGTCATGGCTGGTCTGAGCCTCTGCCTGCAGCTCCAGCCCTAGACAGGGAAGGCAGTGTGTACCCTAGAACCCCAGCGGGCCACTCCTTCGCCCCTCTGCAGGGCAGGGTCTGCGGCCTGTGCGGGAACTTTGACGACAATGCCATCAACGACCTGACCACGCGCAGCCAGGCTGTGGTGAGCGATGCGCTGGAGTTTGGGAACAGCTGGAAGTTCTCGCCCACCTGCCCGGACGCTCAGGCACCCCGGGACCCCTGCACGGCCAACCCATACCGCAAGGGCTGGGCCCAGAGGCAGTGCAGCATCATCAACAGCGCCACCTTTGCCGCCTGCCACACCCACGTAAGCCCGGGTGCACCCAGGGCAGGGCTGAGAGGGAGGGCTGAGACCATCTGCTGGTGTGGCGGGGTCTGTGGGGCTGGAGCACCGCTCCTCTGGCCATGGCTCTGGAGCTGTGGGGTGTTGCTGCCGAGGCTGGCCCGGGGCCCATGCAGCTGGAGCTGGTCAGGTCCCACTGGTCTGGGGACGCAGTGACAGGCCTGGCCGGCCAGCTGGGGTCAGGCATTGGGAAACCGGCCAGGCCACTCAGCCATGCTGACCCCGCAAGAGCCCAGGGAGCTGGGGTCCGCAGCATCTGAACCCATGTCGCTCAGGTGGAGCCAGCCAAGTACTATGAGGCCTGTGTGAGCGACGCGTGTGCCTGTGACTTGGGGGGCGACTGCGAGTGCTTCTGCACTGCTGTGGCCGCCTACGCCCAGGCCTGCCACGAGGCAAGGGTGTGCGTGTCCTGGAGGACGCCCGACATCTGCCGTGAGTGTGCCGGCTGGGGAGTGCGGCGGTCATTCAGGAGTGGAGGCCACTGTGCTCCCAGGTCCAACCTGGCACAGCCTGGGGGGCCTGGGGCAGCTCTGGCTGGGACCCTGGGGTGGCTCCTCCTGAGGCTGGGGCCTCAACCTGGCCATGGCCCGGAGGGAGCATGGCGGGGTGGTCTAGAGGGCCGGGGCGGGCTGCACTCCGGCTGACCCCCGTCCTCACCCAGCGCTGTTCTGCGACTACTACAACCCCTCCGGGGAGTGCGAGTGGCACTACCAGCCCTGCGGGGCGCCCTGCCTGCGCACCTGCCGGAACCCCAGCGGCCGCTGCTTGCAGGACCTTCGTGGCCTGGAAGGTGGGTTGGGCTCCGAGCGAGGTGGGTCTGCCCCGTGGGCCCGTGGCCTGAGCTGGCTGAGCAGTAGCCGGCAGGCACTGGGGCAGGACAGGGGCCTCCGGGACACTCAGGGCCCCCTGGCCTGCAGGCTGCTACCCCAAGTGCCCCCCGGGGGCCCCCATCTTCGACGAGGACACGATGCAGTGTGTGGCCGAGTGCCTACTCCCCACCCCGGCGCCACGCTGCCACATCCGCGGGAAGTCGTACCGGGTGGGCACGACGGTGCCCTCTGGGGAGAACTGCCACTCCTGGTGAGTCCCTGCAGCAGGAGCTGCAGCCTGAGCTCACCAGCTGCCTGTGGCCCCGTCCCTGTGGCCCCAGTTCCCTGGCTGGGTTCTAGGATGTCTCAGGGGGTCCCAGGTTGGGGGACTCGTGGGTGCAGAGGGGGATGCTGAGGCCAGACAGCCCCCAGGGATGCAGGGGGTGACACCCCTCCGCCACCGGCCAGCAGGAGGGGTCACTGTTGGGGTTGTCCTTGGGCGGTCATGGTCTTGGTGAAGAGGCCTGGCAGGAACTGGGGCGACTGTTTTGGCCACCAGCACTGGGCTCAGGGGCCCTAATGCCAACCATTCCTCCCCTCGCCAGCGTCTGCACTGAGAGCGGTGTGCACTGCACCTATGACACCAAGGGTGAGGAGCTGTGGGTGCCCAGGGCTGGGAGGGGGCCCTGGCTGTGCCCCAGACTCTCACAGGCGGTCGCTGCTCCCCATAGCCTGCTTCTGCACCTATGACGGCCGGCGCTTCGGGCCAGGGGCTGAGCTCTATCACACGACGGATGGCATGGGTGGCTGCCTCTCTGCAAGCTGCGGGGTCAATGGCACCATCGAGAGGAGGGTCTACCCCTGTGGCTCCAGCAGCACCGCCCCGCCCACCACCTTCGCCTTCTCCACAGCGCCCACGGGTAAGGTTGGCGCTTGCCGAGGGACTGCTCCTTCACACCACCCGTCACCTTGCAGCCTCCCTGCCACTCAGCCTTGGGCCCAGGGACATTGCCTGGGCACCAGGGGCCCCAGGGCCTCAAACTTCCGGGGGGGTCTCAGGGCCCCCAGGCATCACCAGGACCTCTGAGTGATGAGCAGGAAACACTGGCTCTCAGGAGCACAAATGGGAGCTCTGCCTGGGCAGCCACAGTGAGTCCCCTAAGGGGAATGAGGTTGGGGACAGCTGTGTCCTGCACCTATTGCTGCCAGGCTGGGCCTAAGCAGATGGCCAAGGACACGGAACCAAGCAGCTCACAGGCAGTGGGGATGCTGGGGCCAGGTGGGAGGCAGCTGAGCACAGCCCCGACACCCAGCCCCGCCTCCCTCTGCCCACAGCCGAGAGCTCGACGCATGCCCCTGGCACATGGCCCCGCCCCACCAGTAGCATGGCACATCCAAGCCCCCAGAGCAGCACCAAGTCCTCTGCCACCCACACATCCTCTGGGGAGACGTGGGCCGTGGCCTCCACTGCCTGTGGGGAGGAGTGCGTGTGGTCCCCGTGGCTGGACGTCAGCCGCCCAGGAAGCGGCATCGACAGCGGGGACTTTGACACACTGGAGAACCTCCGTGCCCATGGACACCGGCTGTGCCACGCGCCCAGGGAGGTGCAGTGCAGGGCAGAGGACGTCCCTGATGTGCCCCTTGGTGTCCTGGGGCAGCGTGTGGAGTGCAGCTCCACTGTGGGGCTGACCTGCCACAACCGGGACCAGGTGTCCGGGCTCTGCGACAACTACCAGGTCCGGGTCCTGTGCTGCCGCCCTGTGCCCTGCTCCATCTCATCTGGCCCCACAGCCTCCTCCTCGGCTCACATCACACCTAAGGGCCCAGACACCATCCTCATGGCCAGCACTGCACCTGCCCCAGGGAGTCCCACACCAGACAGAGCCACGCTCCTGACCTCCAGCCCGAAAGTGGAGCCAACCGCCTTGTCCTGTCTAAGACATCAGTGCAACTGGACTGGCTGGCTCGACGGCAGCTACCCTGCTCCTGGCAGAGACAGCGGGGACTTTGACACCTTGGTTGAACTGCGGGAGCGAGGATACAAGTTCTGTGACCGGCCCCGGAATGTGGAGTGCCGGGCCCAGTTCTTCCCCCACACACCACTGGCTGAGCTGGGGCAGCAGGTGACCTGCAACACTGAAGTGGGGCTCCTGTGCCTGAACCGGGAGCAGCTGCCACCGATCTGCTACAACTACCAGATCCGCATAGAGTGCTGTGAGGTGGTGCACAGCTGCACGACGGCCAGCACAGCTGTGACCGTGACCACAGAGGAGGGCAGGACCACCCGGACCCGGGGCTCAGTGTCCACCAGGGGAACCAGCTCAGGCCCCACAACCACAAGAGGTACCAGCTCAACACCCACAACCACAAC